ATATATCTAAAGCTAAACAGGTCACTAGCACATACTTTTGTCTTTCAAGTAGGAATGTAGAGCCCTATGCGAGAATACTAGTATTATCTCAACCTCTACCTCGCCCTCGCGCTTGTCGCGTCCTTTCGTGCAAGGCCTAGAGCAGCTGTATTATACTCGTATAATAGTCTAAAACTTGTGTTTCACTATACTGGTTTTAAACTTCATAAATGACATTTTTGTAATATCAACCCCAATTTTACTATAGAATTCGTAAATCAACCAACGGTATTGTACATTGTCGTCAACCCATAATACGTCCCACTGCTGGACACGGGGCACTTCTAAGGTGAACGGAATTAACACGATTTCCAAGGGTTATGAATCATTCCTTGGACATGCAGGTTGTGGTATGTTGTCCTACAAAACACTCTTTCTTTTGTGTAAGTGACTTAGAAAAAAATCGGAAATGAAGGTATTTTTTCGGATTTAATTTTTTGTTATTTTTTTCAAACAAACCGATGTTTTAGGGCCCGTTACAGCTCCCATGGTCACAACTGACTAAGACGGTGAAGTCATGAACCAGTTATGTGCAAACCACCTTATTTCTCACTACAGTTACAAAACTTATTAATTAATACCTTAAAAAATTAAAGTGTTTTTCGGATCTAAATTCAAAATCGCGTATTTTTGTTTTCTTTCACACTAACGTTTCGGGCAATTTGCAGGTCCCATGATCACAGTAGACTTAATTTACCTTAATTTTTAATTTACCAAAGAATATTCCAATTTACGACTTAGATTTGAAAAAATAGATGCATTTCCATTGTGCAACAATCGCGAAAACTTAAGAAATCGATTAGAGTATAAAATCGTACAAAGTCGTCATAATTTTTTTTTAACCTACTATAAAAAAGGAGGAGGTTCTCAATTCAACTGCATTTTTTTAAGTATGTAAGTTACGTGATAACCCCGGCATTTACGAACCGATTTTGAGGATTCTTTTTTGGTAGGAAAGAGGATACTTCATTAGTGGTCCGATTTAAATTTGAAGAAAAAATTCCACCTCTAGGGGTGGCAAACTAAAGGATGAATGACTTTTGAGCTCAGTTTTTTTAGTACTCGGTACTGAGATTGTTATAATACCAAGTGACGAAATGAACAAGTCGTGCGCCAGGTAGTAAGCAATACGCCTATCCATGACAGTTGCAGTTACAATTTCACCAACATTACTGCTTGGCGGCAGAAACAGGTAAGATGGCAATACTTCCTTTTATGAACTCTTTGACTGCTACAAAATGATTTGAACCATGGACCTAATTTAAGATCTAATCTTATTTTCCAACTATATTATCGCCGCTCTATTGCGAAATATAATAATATTTAGGGTAAATCATTAATCAGTTTCCGGATTCGATGACTTGACAGTACTACTCTATTGTACGTATTTTATTTTCCCCAATACCCTGCATAATGAAGGTAGCGCCATCTACCACATGGCATTTAATAGCCCGCTCCCTACCCCCGCATTGGGTATACTTAGGTATACAGGATGTCTCACAGTTGTGGGACACGCAGGGAAATAGAGATATTGTAGATAGGTTTTTTTTTAGATTCTAACTGACGGGACGAACAAGTCGTGGTGGTAAGTGATACGCCTGTCCGCATTGACTATACTTTGGTATACAGGACGCCTCACGGCTGTGGGACACGGAGAGCTGGTACTTTAAATATTGTAGATAGGTTATTTTGCTTCATTGGGACATTATTTAATTTTTAAAATTGGGTAAAACTACATTCATAGACGGCGCTACGACTAAAAAGTCGTTGAAAGACCAAGTACAAAGACACGACGCAAGCACATAGAAAAATTCGTGAGGTCCGTTGGTTCGTTCCGTGGATTTGTTGGTATAGCGTCTGGCACGGTATGCAAGAAGACGTCGGTTCGAATCCGACCGGATCGAAGGAATTTTTTCTGAGTGTTTTTTCTGAGTGTTCGATATTTGTATTAATAATTATAACAAACTAGTGGAGTAATTTCACAAAAAATAATTGAATATCAATTCAATAAAAATTTAATTAATACATTCAAAGACTTTAAAAAGTTGCTTACCTTACAAAATGTGAAAAAAAATTGACATCATACAAAAAAAATATGATGAAATTAAAAAGGTCAATTATAAGGATAAATTCTTTATGAGTAACATAGTATCGTGACTTAAAGGATTACCATGAAATTAAACATTTATGTTTAATTATATTAATTATAACGTACCTGCCTTCTTATAGTATCGATGCCATACACACAGGACATACAGGAAAAGAATGGTACCTTTCGTGCACCTCTATGTTTTTATAGTCGATATTTGAACTTGACTTGTTCGTCCTGTCACTTAGTAGCATAAAAAACCTATTTACAATATTTTAAGTATTTTCTATCCGTGTCTCATGGCCGTGAGACACCCTGTATATTACTCACGGCCATTCCACAATTCATCTTTAATTATTCAACCAATCAATTATTGAATAGTCGACTGTTAATCAAACCAACAAGCAACGCCCTGTAAAAATAACTACAATTCGGTCGTGTATGGAGTTCCGCTGCCGTCTATGGGAAGGTTCTGCTAAATACCAACTGGTCACCTTGGATTCAGACGAAAGGCATGTCAAAAGGCTTATAGGTGACTCGGATTTAGTAAACGAGGCTACAGAGCCTTGAATACCACTGAAAAGTTTGTTTTTAACTCACACACTATTAACTCCGCAATAGGGAAATCCTGTATCGCGGGTGCCATGGAGACACACATAGACAACCACAAATTACACCCAAACTTACGAGATAAATAAATGTAGGCCATACAAATACTTCTCCCGGCCCGGGAATCGAACCCGGGACCTCTGTGTGGCTGCAGAAGCATGGTAACCGTTCAGCAGTTATCTGCTAATTGGTATTCTACAGGATGTATCACGGAGAGTGTGTGATAGAATTGCATGACTTAATCCCGCCTTCCCTTTTCCATCATCAGGGGACTTAGGAGTTCGACCCTTATGTTGTGGATATTACAAGGACTCGCACGAAGCGTTACGCTTCCACATTTATATGGCAAACGGCTGTGAAATGACGTTCCTACCTGCAGATTTATTCCCTGAACGCCGCTACAACTTGGGGTCTTTTCAAGTGACTGGGCGTTATTTAGGTGTGCATGCTACATGGTCACTTCCCATCAACTGAGATGGAGGTCAAATGCGCATTTATTTTGTACATATAAAATTTTATTATTACATTATATCAACTATTGATAATTTCGAGGTTTATTGCTATGGTTGAGAATAACTGTGTACAAATTTTGAAAGCATCGGCAGTGGCTAATCAGTTTCAATGTTTGTCCTTCTCAAACCAATTGGTCGTATGCTTTGTGGTAAGATCATCTGGGAGACCCAAGAGCTGGCAGCTTGCCCAACTTATTAGCATACATATACAAAAGCTGAACCCTGCCTGCCTGATGCAATTTTATTCATTCGATTTATTCCTAGCTTTAGATTTTTATCTGTTATTGTTGTTTCACGAGCTCAATGGGTTTAATTTATTTCATAAATGACCAAAGCTGTGATAACAAATGATGCAGCAGCACATGTCACACCTGACATACAAAAAAAGCGCCTGTTAATAAACTATAAGCAAAATTACTTGTGTGAATTTTAAGTATTTAAATATTTAGGCGTTATTGTTATTTCTTCACATTCTTGAATTAGAGTTCAAAGTAGGTTTTTAATTATATACATACACATGTGTTTGGAGCTGATGGAGCCAAAACATTTGTATTACTATACCTTGTTTGTCCAATACACTAACTATGCATGGATGTATTGTAGGTTACTAAAACAGACCCTGCAGATGATGCAGACTCTGCGCCGAAAAAAAAAATTTAATTTTGTGAAATAGACCTGCGGCTACGGTCAACTGGATGTAAGCTTAACGTAATTTTAGTAGCTGTAGGGCTCCTTGTGAAAGAGTTCGTCCAGTTAAGTACTGCCACATTACCCATTTCTGCCACCAAGCGGTGATGTGAGCATTTAGCATTTCGGTTTTGACGGGTAAGGGTACTGGTGAAATCACAGGCACATAAGACTTGTCAATTTATGTACCTCTGAATGATGGGCGCAGTGGCAACGCCCCTCAGATTTTTGTGATTTAAATCTCTGAGAGGTACTGCAGCTCTTAAGGACGCACGACTCATTCGACCCATTACTTTCCCTTCACGAACTAAACGTGGAAATCACACATATCACTCTCTATAGTATTGTAGTCTAGGCTCTACTCTATGAGTAGAACTACTGTACTGGCTGAGTGAATATAGTTTTGTATTTAGAATGTGTTTTGAAATAATAGGTAAGAAAAGTAGAAAATCTTGATAGATCGAATAGTAACCTGAAGAAATAAATATGTGCAAAA